ATTGCAAGCTACGAAAACACCATCTTAGTGAGGATGTTTTATCAAATAGCGTCAAGACTAAATGAAATCGTACGTATGGCAACTACTGTTTTTATGACATTCCATAAGTACCAAAACTAATGTAGTTTTTTTTTTCTAGTATGGCCAACAGTTCTCTTCATTATGGCATCGAAATGATTTTTGGGGATATGTAGCACGTGAAATATTGCAAAAGCCTTGTACGATACAATCTTACATTAAAGATGTGACGAATCACAATAACATTGTGAGCCAAAATCTTCCGCCGCGGTTGTCTTTGCGACGTCTTGGCTCCCACGTTCTTATCTTTTGGATCAGCATAAGCTATTTGATCTTCAGACTATTCTCCAACAGTACAATATTGTATATTGTATTTTTGTTTTCATTGTGGTTCCTGTTTGTGATATTAAAAGCTTGTTTAAAAATGCTGAAAATTATGAAAGATCACTAAATAAATGATATTTTTTATGACTATGCTGTGCTTTTATTGCATCACATGCGCGAGTGAAGCCATCCATTTGCTCTCATTGGAATTAGCATATAAAATATAGTGATTGTATACCCTGCTTTTTTGATAAATATAACTGAGTAGAATGGCGTTATTTTAGGATGCTTCTGTTGCAGGTATTTTGTGTGTCATTTAGGTTTACACATTTATGCTTACACATTTTGGGCATTGGACAGAGACGAACAAGCGAAATAGATACATTGGACAGAGAGATAAACAAGCTACTTGTAACCTCTTTTAATCCCTTATGCTCTGTTGATATTGTATTAATACTGGAATTGTGCTCAAATCTTTGCTTTTGGAAATGATAAATTTTATCTGTCGTCAATCCTATGATAATAACAAATTGTTAAAGACAGTAGCCTAATGGCAGGGTGCGGACCGCGAACTCAAAAGATCGTGGGTTCGAATCCACCATTCAACTACTGTCGTGAACCACTCCTAACACAAGCATTTTAAGCTTATCAGCTCGGATCTGGTCATTCGCCACACCATTCTGGTTCCTTCGAGCTGGATTCGAGGGCACAGCCTGTCGCTCAACCATTCTGGTCCAGTCGAACGGATTGGGAACTGACGCCCTATGGCTTGATCGAGTCGAACTGCTGAACCAATTCCTTGGACAATGCATTCTAGTTTGTTAACATTGGATATAACTTCACCTAGCATTACCAACGGTACGCCGTACTGTTGAATATAAAATTGAAAATAATTGAATTTTTTTTGTAGCTTTATTCGCATAGATAAATAGACGCTCATTTAGTTTAGTTTGACCCGCTGTATTTTTCTGTTTACCTGGTTCTATTATTCGTAATATTTATACAAATAATGCATTCTTAAGCCACGAGAGGAGGCCCAGCAGCCTACATACTTCCCGTATATAAGCACAGCTGACATTAACAACCACCAACACTGTGCGATTTACTAGGAGTTTTCTAAAGCGCATAACTTTTTTGTGGAAGAAACGAGCTTACTCTTTTTAAACACATGCACCTGCAAGTCCACAAATGTTATAGTTGTTCAAGAGCGACGTATACACGGCACTTATAGCTATCGCACGCCGTCTATGCGCTTTACATCGGCATGCGGCGGATCTACGGCGGCAAGCGATCCGCATTTACCTACGTCGCGCGTAACAATTTGACTCATCTTTTAGCAAACTACCTCGCTCAAGAAAAAATAATCGTGAAAAAGTGTTTGATTTAACGTCGTTTTGTGGAAGAGTGATGCGTCACTAGTAAACATTTCACATTAACGTATTGTGAATCTATCGTCTTTCATCGTCGTACGATATTGTTGGTGATAGTTTAATGTTAATTAGTGTGATACAAGATGTCAGTAAGTGGAAATGAAATTAAACTTAAAACTCTTTCCGCAAAGAGGGACGTACTTTTTTCACGTATACAATATATAAGTGATCATATAAAAAATATTAACGTAGAATCAGTGCGGGAGACGTTTTCATATGAAATCGAAACAGTGGAATCGTTGAGGTTAGATTACGAAAGTGTACTAGACAAAATAACTTAGAACTGCAGATCGACCCTCAATATGCAGCAAATTACCAATCACTTATATCGTTTGAAGATATGTTGTGTCGCATAAAAAGAACTGCTAAACTTTTACAGTCTTCAGCCCAGAGCAAAGTAAAACAGGAAATTCAGGTAGGTACGTCTACGTGAATCACTTAGAATGCCCCCTATAGATATCCCGGTATTTAATGGTGATATTAAAAATTGGCCGTTGTTTATTGATAGCTTTCAAAACACTATACATAACAATCCCTCGTTATCGGACGCTGAAAAAAAATATTATCTAATTAGTAAGTTGACAGGTAAAGCGCAGTCTATATGTTCGTGTTTCACACCAACAGCAAACAATTATTTGCTAATTTTCAAAACGCTTAAAAATAATATCTAGACCAAATATTCGATCTTAAAGTTATTTCATCCGCGAATATCACTGGTCTAGAGTTTTTGTATAAATTTGTAACATCAGTAGCTGCGCTCAAAAACCTTAAATTTGATGACCTTATGGACTTTGTGTTTCTACATATTGCATTAAAGAAGCTAAACCCGGACACCGTGCGTGCGTTTGAAATGGAGAATCGTGGCTCTGAATTGCCATCATTCGAAGCTTTGGCATCTTTCGTTCGAGATCAAATTAAAGTAATACAACGTCCCGCGAGTGCCAAACGCGTAGCGAAGAAGTGCGCCGAACTTCGACCAGTCTTGTCAACAAGGACAGCTAGGTGTCTGATGTATGTAAACACCGCGCCTTCATCTCCTCATAGCGCCTGTGTTTTATGTAAAAATAACCAAAACGGTAATTTGTATAACTGCGCGACCTTCCGTAAGCGTTCACCGAGCGAACTTTATAAAATAGCAAAGACCAACAACTTGTGTTTGAACTGTTTAAGTAATAAGCATCGCGTCGCTAATTGTAACTCTAGTTCAGTATGTAACAAATGCCACAACAACTTTTGCTACACAATAAGGTCAGGGGTAATTCCTCGTGTACCGCGCCTCGCATACGCATTGGAGACCATTTTGTGTTACGTCATTATTGGTCCCGCTCCTACCGCTCACAATGTTTCGGCAACCTCCTATTGTTGCACCGCTGCTGTCGAACCTCACGAATTATTGGCTCGCGATTTCCGGGAAAAGGAGGAGGGGAACGTCCCGCCTATACTTAGCTCGAATAATAGATTACGCAAGGAGTCGAGAAGCAAGACGTTAGTCTACTAGTACGAGAACGGGAATAGAACCTGTTGTAGTTTCGTTGCAGCCGAAGGGAACGCCGAATAGGGATAGCCCTGGAGCTAGGTTTGCCAGTTTATAGACACCGCGAAGAAGGCCCAAACTAACAAAGTTAGATCGCCCCGCGACCCGTCAGGTGACATATTCGGTGCACGTATTTCGTGACCCGGGACTCGAATCGATGTCGTTAGCGGAAGCGCGCGCGGCGCTGATCGAGGTCGCGGTCGCGGTGCATGGAGACGCTGCGACGGAAAGCGTGCCCCATTGGAGACTACGAGATAAACCAGCTAAGGCCAATCTTGCTTGGCGGAAAGAATTGAGACTTCGCGAGCAACAAGCCATAAGCAATGTTGTTCCGAAGCGTTCGTCGCATAGCTTCACCGCTTATAATTCTTGATAGTTTCGATTCGCTTTGGATATTGCATACTTATGATTAGATGGTTTGTGTGATTTAAATATTAGTTTGTCTTTGGTAGAATTATAAATTAGTATTTTGCTTATTAGTGTTTATTTAGCTTGTTGGTGTTGCATATAAAAAAATATAGTTTAGCCTACGCCACAGTAGTACGCTGACGCTGTGTTATATTTAAATCATTTTTTGTCGTTATATATATTGTAATTTCTAAAATAATAATTGCGTTTGTAGTTCTAGAAGTGATTAAATAGTGTTTGTTCGTGTTTATATTATCGATTGTTTACATGTAGTTATATTGCGTGGCATAATTTACATCTGTCGATTCGCGAAGCTTCTACCACGACGTCCGTATGTCGTTGCGTCCGATTATAGTTATCCCGAGTTGCTAATATTGCGTGAACTTCAACGTGTGCACTTTTCCGATGAAATTACAAGATTACAATCAAATAGAACTTACAATCGCGCTTTTCAACGCATCAAGTCATTTTTGCAGAATGGAATTATTAGAGTAAGTGGGCGCTTGTCTAACTTACATTTGAGTTTCGATCAACGGCACCCTATAGTTTTACCGCGTAAGGATCATATTTTGAATTTTAGTTGATTACCTCCATAAATTGAATTGTCACGCTGGCCCCAGATTGTTGATGTCCATTTTGCGTCAGAATTACTGGATTCTTTCTGCACGTAATTTAATTCGCAATCGGGTGTAAATAAAACTCGTAGGATATCCAGATAAAAATGACAGTTAAGGATAGGTGTTCATGGAGGCTAAAATGATCGACCGGCTAAACTATCGGCGAGCATCAAGATGTTATGCAGGTGTAAAAAAAGTAACGAGACATGATTTCGATCCGCTAGCGATCAGCCAATAACGTTATACCAATACCTAGTGTTTTGTACGCCAGAGCGATTTTAAATCTTTATTGGACCGATTAATTGCCCCTTAACTAATCTTGCAAATAATAATGGATGCACACAATACTTTCTCAATCTTCTTTTGACGCATTTTATGAAAAAGAGCACAAACTTCTATAAATTGATCCGGCCTTTCTGTATTTTTTTTATAAATTAGCCGGTAAGAAATCGTTTAATGCGCGAAGTTGATCGCCCTACGAAACAGATTATTCATGTGCGACCAATATCACATACGGACGATGACAGTAGAGGCAAACGACGTAGGATTGCAGGATAATGGCCACTAGCAATAAATAAGGAAAGCTGCAGAAGCGTCGTCACCCTTGAGGAAAAGAATTATCTGCCCAATATTGAAAATAAAAAGAGCGTTTTCTTTTACGTAGCTTTATTAACAATATCTCTTAAGAGTAAGTTTAGGGACGATGTTCATAGAGGCAAGTTCTTGGAAGAGTAGTTTGCAGGCATAGGGCATCTCAACGGTAGAGACGCCGGCGGACGATCGGCAGGCGTGGCACCAAGCGCGGCTCGCTAGGCGCCCACAGGCGCCGCAGATATCCGCGCTGAACGCGTCCGACGCTAACATCAGCCTCTCCATCAGCAGCATACTTAATGCAATCAATACAAAACGTTCAATTTAAACTTAGTATTTTAACAAGATCAACAAAGAAAGGGAAGGAAATAGTAAATACCATGTGGCGCCGAAATCAAAACTACGCTCACCTTATTTAAAAAAAAAACACGCAATTACGCACACATTATACATCTAAAATCATTTGCAACCACCATCATAGTTTAGGTGCATAAGATGTGTGCGTCCACCAATGGACCGTTACCTGATCTTAAATCAAGAAAGAATGATATACGCGTGGATCCGTGAATTCGTGTCAATAAATTGAGTATGGTTTCGGTGTCACTTGTAATGTACGCAGCGCTACGTCTATTCTTTCTCTGAGAATTTAGCAAAAACAATCCAAACCACACACTACAATGAAACTTAATAACGAATGTACACCCATAAATTTAGGATTAACTGATGATAGAATAGATTGGCAATTCAAAAGAGAAAGGGCATAAGTGTACACATATGTTAGAGCGAGAAAGATAGGTTAGCCTGTTTCGGCCTGGAGTTATTCGTGAACAAAACAAATCCCGCTTGTTTTTGTAAAATCTCAGGTTTTAAAGTAAAAGTTAGTGTTTGACGTAATTAATTATGACTAAGTGCGTAGTACCTAAATATAGCTCACCGCAGAAAGAAATCCTACATTAAGGCGTAGGTACGATTGGAATGTTTATATATTTAATCCGCAGGTAAGATTGGAATGTTTAGCTGTAAGTATATACGTTTTATATTAATCATTCCGCAATAACTTTGCACAAGCGTACTCACACGATTCAAGATAACCTATTACGTAAATCTGAAGAATTATGAAGTTATCTATATTTCATTACGTGTATAGTTTTTATCACTAATTTAAACTCGAATCGTTCAAACAAAGCAAAATATTAAAAAAAAATAACCAGTATCAAATTTTTTACTTGACGTTCATTGTTATGCGAATAATCGGCAAAAATATTCAAATAATCGAATCATTAATTTTTTTAATGTATTATAATTTTCAATTAAATTATAATTTCTAAAATTCCTTAAATTACATGAATCATGACCATGAATGAAACAAGTTTATTTTGTTTAACTTTTCAACGTACATTTGTGTAGGCAAAAAACTCATATACAAGGCCGCGTTGAAAAAACCACTACGTAATTTCAAATTTCACTACGCCATTTTGGGAGCTTACTGTGCGTAATTTAGTGATTTTGTGTATGTCGCCTTATTTTGTGACTCGGCTTTAACTTTTTAGGCTGTTTCTTCTATATTCGTTGAAGCATGTGTCCATGTGCCCAAGGATGATTAGGAAAAAGTGGTAGAAAAAAAAATTGATTATGGATAACTTTGAAAGACATTAATTTTGACTGCATTATTGAAAATCAAATAATAATTAGTCTAAACAACGATGAGTGACGAGCTCAACTAGTCGTACTGAAAGTGATGAAATAAATTTATTTTTAATCTAGTTTCAATATTAAATTTTTATAACTGTGCCTCTAGAAATACGCATTATCAGCAAATACGAAGAAACTGATGAATCTTGTGTTTTAAATTATCCGTTTTTAATTTATTCTGGTATTATTCAAACCAAACCGTAAATGATTACCAAGTCTAAATAATAGATGTTGACTTTTTTAAGAATCTTTTTAAGAATCGAATATTGTACGTTCCCATTTTTTGGTTGGCGTGCTTGGTGCAACAAGTCTGACAGCTGTCCTTAGATTTGGTTGACTATAAATGCTGTTTTAGAGCAGGTACAAACAATTTGTACTTTAATGAAGAGGAAAAATATCACATTTTATAATAATAATCTGAATGCAAAGCAAAAATTATTTCAAATACGTGAAATTCTGCTCATTTTAACTTCACTGTTGTAGAGATTGACATTAAAGATTATATGTTATCGAAATGTCCTTAACATGCAAAGGCACGCCTTGCATGCAGCCTTATTCAACTTAGTAATATTTTTAATAATGAATAAAGAAGAATGGTTTTTTGAAAGAAAATATTCGACTATATGCAACAAGTACTCTGGAGAAAAACAAACCTCGCGAAAGGGCACATTGCTTTTAAAGATATGTAATTGGTCAATATAATATGAGTAGTCTATATGATTTGAGGGAACAGATAAACATACATACATAGCCTTCTAAAATTGTAATAATCTTGGCCGTAGTTGGTTAAAAATATCCACTTACATCATGTGCGTCAAATCAGAAGATACAAATATATTGCAATCGGTATCAATAATTCAAGTTGAGGCAGGCCGCAGGCGATGCATGGTGCAACAGTACTTGTCACCCAGACATCCACATTACACGCACACTGGTGTATTTTGATTTTAGTCTCGCCCTAATTACTACATTGCTAATCTATACTATACAATATCTATGAGCATACCACACTACTAATTGAAAGTCAGTTCTGTCTCTTCCCAAACTCGACTTTAACAATATTTACGAGGCGAGTTTTTGTAACAGATTTGTTTACGCTGCTACCACGTATTACAATTTACATCATATATTACACGTATTTAAACATCAAAACTTATAATAGGCTTGGGTAAAAATATCGAAATATCGATATTTCTCATAAAAACACCACATCATGCAAAACATGACAATATATCGATATTTATCTCACGATATATATATATATATATATATATATATATATATATATATATATATATATATATATATATATTATATATTATGATAAATATCGATATATTGTCATGTCATATCTTACACCCTCAGTTATTATCACCCGTTTTATTATAACATTGGAAATATTTAAATGTGTTATACGAAGTCCTAATAAGCAAAACAATGTTATAAGTTAGGGATGGGCAAGTAAAAAAATGATTCGATACTGTATAAACATATCGATATTTTTTTACTAATATCAGGACTATATGGTGGATGCATTAACTACTCCCCAACCAAGCTCTCTCAATTTTTGTTGAATAGCCAAATATGTATGTGGTCTGGCGTTATCATGATGAAAGACCACACCTTTTCTGTTGATCAATTCCGGCCGTTTTTTCTCAATTACTTCCTTGAGTCTCATTAGTTTATGGCAGTATGGATCCGAATCGACAGTTTTGCCCGTCGGTAAAAGCTCATAATAAACGATGCTCTTCCAATCATCAACACTAAATGAAGCATGACCTTATTGCGTCTTATTCCGAGTTTTGCTACAGTCTGTAGAGCTTGACTACCTTTTGATTATAATCTTTTTCGCACGTTCTTGTCATAGGTGATCCACTTTTCATTATCTGTGATCAATCTTTTCAAATATATTTCGGTTTCATTACGTTTCAATAGAGAATCGCAAATGAGTACACAATTCATTAAACATTTCCGTGAATGTAGGACCCAAATATCGAGCTCTTTCGTATAGCCAAATTTTTCCATTGGGTCAATACTGTTTTGTGGTCAATCCTTAATTCCTCGGCTATGTCGTTACTACTAATATGCCGATCTTGCTCCAATTTTTCAAAAAATAGCATCGACTTTATCCGTATGGGGGCGACCAGAGCGAGCTGCATCTTTGTCATCAAAATTCCCGAAATGAACATGCTTGAACCAACTTTGTGCTTCTCTTTCTGACACTGCATTAGGTCCATAAAGAACACAATTTTTTGTCGCGCCTCAAGTCGCATTTTTTCCTTTTTTGTAATAAAACTTCTGTATCGAATTTCTTCCTTAGATTCACTCATTTAGACAAAAATTGAAAAATGGCGGGAAATTGATTTTTACTTTTTATTTTTCTGAATGTCCTATATGTATTGACTAGCTGTCACCCGCGGCTTCGCCCGCATGGCCACTGGGAAATGAACTATCCATTGCTTTTTGAATTGAAAGAAAACTGAGTTTCATAGATTTGTCAGAGATGCAGCCATTAAAAGGAAACTGAGCAAAATTGATTCCTCAGCCTATTTAAATGTTTTGAAACGCAGCGTATAGGAAAGCATGAAAATAGCCTGTTTATTCCAAATGGAAATGGGATATTTTTTTAATTAAAGGAAACTGAGCATAATTATCCGTCAGGGATGTAGACTTTTGAAAAGAAACTGAGCTAAATTTAATCGTCAGAGATGCAGTTTTCTGTATTGAAAGGAAACTGAGCCAAATAAAAGATCCGTCAGAGATGCAGCCTTTTGAGTTGAAAGGAAACTGAGCTTAATAGGTCCGTCAGAGGTACAGCATTTGGAATTGAAAAGAAACTGAGCTAAATAGGAAATTTTGAATTGAAAGGGAAGATCTGTGGGAATTCTGATTAATTGATTGTGGGAATTTTGGAAAAAAAAAAACTAACTGAACACTATTTTAAGACGCTACTGTACACAATGTTATATGTTTTTCCATTCGGGGAAAGAATGTGGAGATTCTGGGGATTTGACACACGCGAACATGCTGCATACAGCTGACCATGAGAGAGGCACGGTTTTTCTAAGTTGACCCCCGCTACCTGTAACGTTTGCCCTTGCGCTTTATTAATTGTCATTGCAAAACTGAGCTTAATAGGGAACTGCAACCTTTTGAATTGAAAAGGAAGATCTGTGGGAATTATAGGGATCCGTGGTATAATAACATTTTCACCTTTTCCTACGCCTGTCAAAATTGTAGCACCGATTATGTTCCGTCCAAGATGTGTCTTTGTCTTGTCTCTTCACTTGTCCCGTTACATAACCGAGGAGCATCTAAATTTCGCATTAGCATGACTGGGACGCCTAATTTTAATTGAAGCTTATGTGAGGCCACACCTGACAACTCTAGATAATTTAGAAACTCTACGGGATATGAAGTGCTCTGTTATGGACACAGAATATCTGTGTCCATAACTGTGTCTACTGACAAATACTCCGTTATTTCTCCTGCTACTTCGCTTAATATATCTGAATTTATTTTGTTAACGCTCTCATTTTTTGGTGCAAGAATCGCTCTTTCACATAACCATTTGTCTTCATGCATGTTGTTCGTTAAATCTGA